GCAGGAAGGGGTCATTTGTCTCGTAGAAGCTCCCGGAGGGTGTTCTCGGATAAGGGCACAAAGGGGCTAGCGGGGCCCCTTCCTATCCCAGAAGTCCCGGCTTTGCACCCCTAGGGGTGAGCCACTGAGCTTCAGAGGCTGTTCCCCTGCATAGTCCTCACTGTGCCTGACTCATCACCAGGTGCTCACCACCCCTCACTGTGGCTGACTCACCTTCAGCCTCCACTTCTCTGCTGAAAATCTCTTCCTCCGGGAAGCCTCGCCTGACTAGTACCTCTGCACTCACTCAAGTCAGTCCCTTAAAACATACTGTCACCAGAACCTGGGACCAGCAGTGACATGGTGGTTAAGGCACTGGACACTCCCACATGGCCAACCATGGTTCGAGTCCCACTTTGCCTTCTCACTTTCTTTCTCTCTCTGTATGTGTCTCCTGTTTAAATTAAAAAACAAGTAAACAAGCGAATGAATAAATAAAATTAAATAAATTCTTAAAAAAATACTGTCACCAGAATGATTGCAGGCGATCGCTGGTTTAGCACCTGTCTCTGGGGCAGGGACGGTGCCTGTCTTGTGCATGGCTATGTCCGTGGTCCTGTCACGCAGCCTGGCATGGGGCAGAGCGTCAGGACTTATGTCCATGTGGCGGCTTCTGGTGGAGGGGCTGTCCCAAATTCATACTCCTGCTGGGACTGGGGCAGACCTGCTAAGAGGGGTCCAGACTTCCTGGAGACCCCACTGGAGGCCACAGCATGGCTCCTCTCAGGGAGGGCCTCGGGGACACCGCGAGGGTGCTCACCACCCCAGCGTGACGCAGAGCGGCCTCAGGACGGCTGCCTGCTAGATTCAGAGGAAACTGGAGTGAAGGTCTGTGTGGTTTCCAGGTCTCTTCCTGCGGGCCTCTCGGTGCAGACGGGCTGGCTTACAGGAGGCAGCTGCGTCCCCAGCAGGAGCCCTGCAGGGCTCAGGGTGCCGTGGCATAGGCCTGAGGAGGCTGGAATCAGGGAGTGAGGCTATGGGGTCTTGGGCTGCGGAGAGGGAAGGGAGCCCCTGTCACCATAGGGAGCTTTCAGTCTGGGCCAGACTGAACCCCTGCCC